TATTAAAAAACTCGAAGATACAACGTTCGCATAGCCAACGGACTACATAAGACAACCCTACACAAAAACTAAACAACAAGCCCACACACCAAACAACACACCTATTACAACAGGGATATCATCATAAATATGATGACTCCTCAGCAGCCATATTGGCCTCACACCACACTGAATTACAACCACTAGCATTAGCAACAAACACACATTGCGCAAATTTCTTAACTAAGAACCAGATGTCTTCCACAATTACAGTAACATCGTGATGGAAGCTTGAACCATTTGATAGTCTAACTGCAATTTCTTGAGTTGGAACTTGGCAGGTGATCTTCAACCATCCCAACAGCAAACCTTGTTCCAAACTCCATCTTATAGCTAACAACAGAGCCCCCTCCATGTTTGCTGCTGAACACTTTGTACTCCACCACTGTTTCTGCCATATGATCTTCATCTTCTTAATGCCCTCACTAGAACCAGCTACCTGTTTCTGAAATGCATACCAAGAAGACTTAGAAGCCAGAATGGTTTTATACACCTCCTTCACCGAAAACACCCTCTTCTTACTATGGTGCCACACTCGTTTGTCTTTAGCACCCCACCTGCTTATTGGAATTTGAAGAATATTAGTAGCCTCAGTTGGGTGAAAAGATTGGAATATAAGTTCAGCATCCCACCCTTTACCTCCTGGCAGCATCAAATCAGAAACAATAGTAATTTTCTTCTGATCACCTTGAAACATACATGTAGGTTTAAAGTTTGGAGACCCCTGCAGCCATGGATCTTCCCAGACATTAATAGCCTTGCCATTTCCCACCTGATACTTCATGCCAAGCTGCAAGTACTTCCTGACCCCTAACCAAGATTTCCACATCCACGAGTCACTGCTTTTAGGGCATATGGTCATTAGGTTCTGGTTATAAAAGTATTTGCCTTTAACAATTTTGCTCATCAACAGATTTGGTTGGGTCAACACCCTCCACATCTGTTTCACTAGTAAGGCCTCATTAAATGAAACCAAATCCCTAAATCCCAAACCCCCCATCTCCTTAGGATAAGTAAGGTTAGACCATTTAGTCCAATGCATTCTCCCCTTACCATTTTCTTTTTTCCCCCACCAGAATTCTGCCACAGCTCTACATATGTTCTCACAAATCCCCAGAGGGACTTTGAAGCATGACATCACATAAATAGGCATTGCATTTAAAACAGATTTGATCAGAATTTCTTTGCCTGCTTCACTCAGAAAGATGTTTTTCCAATTTTTTATCTTATTGAGAACACACTCA